CTCAGGGAAAAGGGCGGCCTATAAATAAACTACAAACAAACAAACAAACAAACAATTTGTGATACCCATGAAATCTTTTTAGAGTGGTCACTTTGAAGGATGCCTCAAATTAACATCAAATTGTTAAATTGGAGCCAGTACTACCCCACTATCGACTGTATGCAATTATAATACCCTTTCCCCAAAACTGTTCCATGCCATTTCATGTGGAATTTGTTTCACTAAATCTTATGGGGCAAGAGCCTAAAATTATAGCCCTCTACTATCCCCTGCTGAAGTGGGGCAGAGGAGACATGTTATCCTGCAGAAAAGTTTTTTTTTTCACAGCTGAAATGTTGATTTGTTCTCTTTGACCCCTTGGCCACTTAGAAAACCCCCAATCTGAGCTATAATGAATGCAGCTGATCTGCTTTCCTTTGGAGTCATCTCTCCCCTGGCAAGTTGCTGCATTTATTATTAGGGTGCTAAAGCTAATGATTGGCACCCACTTCCCCCCCTCTCTAGATGTTAAGGTTGTGTAGGGGCTCCTAGCCCAATTTCTCCACTACCAAGATTACCACCTTGCCAGCCACTTGTTTCCTCACAGGCCAAAATTATGTCTCTATTAATATTTGCACCCTGCTCCCAATCCTTATAACTCTGATCTGCTCAAGAAACAACAAAATAAAGACAAATATAAGAATGGGAAAATCACGGGGACTAGCAACTCTGCTACTAAGTCCTAATTCTCCCTTGTATTCCTACTCATTTCATGTATTCATAATCATATCTATGCTTATATCTGTTATTTAATTCATGTTTGACTAAATAAATAAATACTAAATAAATAAGCAGAGAGCCGAGAGCATGGTTTCTTTACAACAAACAAGGAAAGTACTGAGGGCTAGGAAAAAGATACGACCCTTTTCCTTCTCTCTGGCGGTTCCCGACTCCTGAGACCATGCAGACTTTCCCGACATTTCGCCAACTCGCGACAGCGGGGCTGCGTTCGAGCGCTCAGAAGTTTCCGAAAGGGCCCCGCACGTCTGAAGGGTGCCGCTATCGTGGCACCTTCGCCCCAGGCCGCGCTTCCCTGGGGCTCCCGCAGAGGCGCTTCTTATGCCCACCGGTGCTCCCGAAAGAGGATTCAGCCAGCGTCGCCTCTACCTTCGGCCCTCCCTCCTTGCCCCCAAAGGGCCCCTCTGGAGAGCCCCGCATCCGAGCCTCGCAGGGAATTGCGAGTTAATTGCGTCTCCAGCGGCGCCCGATTCGAATTCGGCTCGGCTACCCACGCACACGCGCGCGCGTTTACAAATACATTCGCGCCGGGTTCGCAAGCGGACTGGAACCCGCCACAGCCGCCTCCGCCTTCCAGTTCAGAGCATAGGTAGCCTCCGGATTTCCAAGTGGGGTCCAAGAGCCCCATGGCCCCATTTAAATTTTTTTTAAAAAAACCCTGGACTCCGGGCCTTATTCTCCCCGCCCAATGGCTCCTTCTCCCGCTAAGGGTTCGGAGGAACGTGCCCCAGAGGATTTTTCGGCACCGATTCAGCCTCTTACCCGTTTCACCGCTCCTGGTCCCCACCCCCACCCCGGCTCCCCGTCCATCCCTCCACACAGGCTACTTTCCACAGCCTCGGACCTTCGGTTGAGCAGGTGCTCCGTCCGACCCAAGCGGAGTGAGAGAGAAGCGGCAACCGCCGAAAATCGAAGCAATGAGAAGCCGCTCTTTCAGCCCCGCTGGAAAAGCGGGAAGCGCGCGGCGGCAGCGGCGGTCTCTGGCTGGTGCTGCTGCTCTAACGCGGGGGTTTTTATCCCTCGCCTTCCTCGGGGCGGGAGCAGGGAGCCGCTGCCAGGGAAGACGGGGAAGGCGCCAAGGGAGGCTCCGAGAGGCGGAAGGAAGGGGATAAATGAGGGAAAGGAGGGAGGAAGGAAAGGAGATAAAGGAGGGAGGGAGGAGAAAAGAGGGAAGGAAGGGGATAAATGAGGGAAAGGAGGGAGGAAGGAAAGGAGATAAAGGAGGGAGGGAGGAGAAAAGAGGAAGGAAGGGGATAAATGAGGGAAAGGAGGGAGGATATAAATGAGAGGGAGAAAGGAAAGAGAAGGAAGGAAGAGGATAAATGTGGGAAAGCTGGAAGGAAGGAAAGGAGAGGGAGGGAGGAGATAAAGGAGAAGAAGGAAGGAGATAAGAAAGGAAGATAAATGAGAGAGGGAGAAAGGAAGGAGATAGGAGAGGGAGGGAGGAAAGAGAAGGGAGCAGATAGGGAAGAGATAAGTAAGGGGGAGAAGAAGGAAGATAAATGAGGGAGAAAGGAAGGAGATAGATAAGGGAGGGAGGAAGGAAGGATCCAAGCAAGGGGCAAAGGTGGCCCACCTGGATTCAAGGTGTGCTGAGAAAAGAGCTGCTGATCACCTTAGTTTCCTTCAATTCTTGAGAGCTGATGGCCAGCAGTTTGGGACTCCCCTGGCCTAGAAGAGGGAGAGAAAGGAAGAGTAACAAGGCTGAAGTCAAAGAAGAGGGAGCCTCATCTTGGCCTGATTTCACAGGGGGCTTCTGGGAAAGTCTGCACTGGAAAAAAAATAGATTCATTCTTCTCCCCAAAGTATGTTTGGGTCTTCTCTTACCTAAAACAACCAAATCCAATTTTAGTTCTGAATCTGGACAGAAAAAGTCCTTTGTAAAACCCATCTAATCCCTCTGACCTCATTTGTTATTATTTATTATTTCTTTTCTCACAATTTTATACTCCATCAAGTTAGTTGATTAGCAGTGCCTTACAAAAATGCTCTAATACAGTTTGCTTTCTCTCAAAAGATTTCTCCCCCTTCAAAAATGCTTGAAACGCTGGTAATTAATCTTCATATTCTCTATTCTAGCCTATTAATGACATTGGATCTTATTAAGCTAATTGTTCATGTTAGATTTCCTGCAAAACAAGTTGCCCCCAAAGTGGCATCTCAGGGTTATAATTCACCAAAAACTAAAATTAGTGCGGCACCTGACCTACTATTTTCTTTTAGAAATATTCTTTTTGAACAGCATCTCACAGGATGAAAATTTGCTTAGCTGCAAAGAACCTTCCATCTCTAGATAGGCATGCGGGTAGATTTGGCAAAGTAAGGAAACACTTTGTTAAAAAACTGACTTATTTAATAAGTAAAACCTTTTCCAATAGATGTGGCTGTAGACCTCCAAACTGCAAGCAGTTCTTTTGGATCTGAGGACTTCAAAGAGAGAAGGAGGATTTTAAAATCTGATTGCATTTTTTCAATGTTAAGCTTACTATGCATATACAGGTAGCCCTCAACTTACGATTACAATTGAGCCCAAATTTTGTGTTGCTAGGCAAGACAGTTTAGTGAGTTTTGCCCCATTTTACAACCTGTACTGCACAGTTTTTAAGTGAATCACTGCAGTTGTTAAATTAGTAATGAAGTTGTTAAGTGTATCTGGCTTCACCTTTGAGTTTGCTTGTTAGAAGGTTGCAAAAAGTGATCACAAGACCCCAGGACCCTGCAACAGTCATAAATACATGCCAGTTGCCAAGAATTCTAGTTTTGATCATATGACCGTGGGAATGTTGCAACAGTTGTAAGTGTGAAAAACTCTCATAAGCTACTTTTTCAGTACCATTATAACTTTGAATGGTCACTAAATGAATGGTTGTAAGTCAAGGACAACCTGTAATGTTCATGGCCTGGTGATAGCACAAACATTCACAATACATAGAGCAAGATCCTGCACCTTATAGGACTTTTTCCAAAATGAGTCATCTATTAATTCAGCTATTTTTTGTAGAAGTGAGCAATTAATTGATGGGAAAATTCAGGCAGAGAGGTTGTTGCTGGCAGTCCCATGGTGAAATTGCCTATAACTTGCCATAGCCTGCTTCCATCTTACAATGGAAAGGGAATCAGGAGAAAGTGGCTCTTAAGCCACTTTCTAGGGCACAGCCATGGTGGCGCAGTGGTTAGCATGCAGTAATTCTGCCAACTGCCAGAGTTCAATTCCCACCGGCTCAAGGTTGACTCAGGCTTCCATCCTTCCTAGGTCAGTAAAATGTGGGCTCAAATTGTTGGGGACAATATAATGACTCTAAACCGCTTAGAGTGGGCTGTAAAGCACTGCAAAACAGTATGTAAGTCTAAAGGCTATTGCTATTGCTACATCTTGATGCTGGGATCCAGAAGTGGTGTTCAGCAGGTTCTGACTGGAGAACCGGTAGTGGAAATTTTGAATAGTTTGGAGAACTGGTAAATACCACCTCTGACTGGCCCCACCCCCATCTATCCTCTGCCTCCCAAGTACCAGCTGATCAGGAGTGAATGGGAGTTTTGCAGTAACCTTCCCCTGGAGTGGGGAGGGACTGGAAATTTTATAGTATCCTTCCCCTTGCCACGCCCACCAAGCCACGCCTACAGAACTGGTAATAAAAAAATTTGAATCCCACCACTGCTGGGATCTCTTTCTCTACTACCTGTTGATGAGCATCTTCAAGACTTCCACTCTCCCCTTTCATAATTCATTAATCTTAATTGGATATGGACTGGATTGCTTGAAATGGTTGCCTGTCTTCTGGCAGCCCTTTCCATTGAGGGCTCTCCTCTAAAAATAGAACATGTGGCCATCCTATTCCTTATCTCTGGACCCTTTCAGTACAACGTGTCTAGAAATGCAGTGGAAATCATGCCCTTCCCTTGGCCCTGCCTGGAATTCTCTGCAATGGCTTGAATATATCATCAGCAAGCAACCTCTTTCTTTGTGGTTTCAACTCATAAACCACTAGGTGTCTCCTCCTCCAATCAAACATTTTGATGGGTACCACTAGGTATCACCAGCATTTTGGCCAAACTTACTAATTACCTAGTAGTTACTAGTAGATACTAACTAGCTACTACCTAGTAATAGGGAGAGGGGGCTTGCTGAAAGTCTTATCACCAAGGAAATGTCATATTTAAAGTCACCTTGGGTTCCGGCCTTCTTGGTGATGGCCCCCTTCCTGTGGAACAGCTTACTCCCAAGAATCCAGATAAAACTCCCCTTACCATATTTTTCAACAACTATAAAAAATGACTCTTAGAGAAGCTGCCTTATTTTTATGAGATGAGCAGAGAAGTAGATGTTGTGGCCCGCCAGCGGCCAGCAGATTTGGCAGCAAATTTGGACAGTGAGGAGGACCATGGGCTAGTCCTGGAGTCTGGGGAAGGCTCTGACGAGTGCTCTGCATCAGAGGCAGATATGGGGCCAGGGCCATCTGACAGTTATCAGCTGCCTTCGAAGTTGGATATCAATAGGGCAGAACAGATGGAGCCTGTTCCCAGTGTGCGCATGTGCAGAGCTGCCAGGAGAAAGGAACAGCTAAGGAACAAGGGCCAACTCAGGAGTAAAGGCACAGGTGGATGGTGATTGGCCCCTCCCATAGGGAATAAAGAGGAGCGAAAGGGGTGTGGAGTTTGCAGGAGACAATTAGTTCAATTCATTAAGGTGAAGATCTGTTCCTGACTTCTTGCCAAGTAATTGCTGCTACAGTGTGGCATTTGGAAGATATTGGCCTGGCAACTCTCCCAGCCTGATAAAGGTCTGTAGTTGCGAAATCTCATGAAAGACTGTTGGCCAGGACTTTGCTGGAGAGGAATTCCCTTTAACTTAAATACAAGAGGTTTTATAGGGACAAGGAGTCTGGTTCATGACCATGGGAGGCCTAAATCAGAACAGTAAAATGCTGTGCTCCACCACTGTCATGCCTACATTCAAGAATAACCACTCTTTAGAATTTGGACTCTTCCAGAAATGTGAAAAGATTAAACTCTCTTAAAGGGGCATCAGGGAATGACTATTTGCTGCCTTTTCTCTTATGTCCTTATATAATGTTCTTATAGCTGGTCTGCATTGTATTCCTTTGATTTATTGTGTCACTTGGTATTGTATTTAAGTGTGCTGTTATAAGCTGCCATGGCTCTAGAAGATACAGATGCAGGCATACAGATTTGATAAGAATCAAATAAATATACTGTAATATGGTGTCTTAAGAAAAATGACGCTCGCAGAAAGTGCTACACAGCAGCTAGAAACTCTTTATTGCAAATCAAGCAAATTTAAAAAGATATAAAAATCTCTCTTGTTTTTTTCATTGGTTATCTAAAGAATCCGATTGTGCAGTTTGGAAGCATTGCAAATCCCAAAGAATACCTAAATGTCAAAGATTAACTTCTGCACGAACATAAGAGTGAGAAGGAGTATTCTCATACAGGACTGATAGACTGAAACCTGCTTCCTTGTTAAACATAGGATGACAAATAAAATCAATCTTAAGATTCAGAGTGCTGGGACTGAAATAAACTGCCTGCTTAAGGATGATTTCCTGCAACAAGACAATGGAGGGGATGAAAGTAGAAGAAGAAATAGATACGCTGTGTTGTAAACTTGATTTTGAAGACAGGCACAAACAATTCTAAAATATGTCATGGAAGCAAAAAAACCTTCAGAAAAAAAAGGCCTAAGACTTAGGCAAAAATGAAAATCCATATCAAAATCAAATCATTTTGATCCCTGCAGGTATATAAAAATGAAACATCTGACAAATTGGGTTGATTCAGAGGGTGGAGGCAATTTATGTGGACGAGAGAGACTGAAAAGAGGGAGAGGTCAGTAATCTTTTAGTCTAAAACTGATTTTATACATTCAATTTCCCACCTCTGCTCGTCTTAATGAATACTGCCTTCACACACTTGATCCTCAAGTCGTGTTTTTCATTGTTCAT